CTCTTCAGCTCTTCAGAATCCTCTCTCTTGTGTGGACCTTGTGTGGGCAGAATGGGAAGACCATTTTCAGACTGATGGATTGATTGCTTCCTTGCCCCATTTTCTATATCCTCTTGCTTTAATATCAGGGTATTTCATTATTCTCAGAGTTGCATTATACTGTGAGTTTGTATTTGACTGATTCAATGGTAATTACTGCCAAGTGCTTAGAACATAGTGTTAACACTGTCTTGCCATATGTATGCTTTACAACATAATTTGTAATTCCAAAATTACAGTGTTATTGAAAAATAGTATGTCCGTTCTGAAAGAGCTGGTAATAGATGTCGTGTGCCTTTTTCACAGAAGTGAAAATAAAGTGCATAAAAATGAAGCCTTAATTGCATATATGACCCTCTGTTAAATAACTTGTGAGTTATCTCTTCACTGTGGTTAGTTTGATATTCTGAAAATGTTTAGGAAAGACCAAATAAACACAACCATAATAAATTTGTCATTTATTGCAACACTTTAATTTCTGCTTATGATATGAAAACAATGCTAATTCTGATTTCAGCAGTAATTTGAGGTGGTATCAATTAAAAATAAAACATTTTGCTTCATGTTGGACTGTGTTGAATCTGGAAATGGATCTGTGAGGAGGAATGGATCTGCGAAACCCTTTATGTCTCGCTGTCTTCTCCCACATTCAGACAAGCTGTTGCATTTTCTCAGTTGAGTGGTTTTGTTAAATAGTTGCTTTCCCAGTCTCATTTTTCTTCTGTAATCTGGATAATGATTAGTCTTCGCTTCTATGTTACATTCTGTGTCATTTTTCCTTTCTCTGTGGCATGTGCCCATCATGCAGCTTTAGTATGAGAGCTGGTGGATTCTGATAAATGTAGCAGAGGAGTTGGTGGGCAGGGTCTCCTGTGGTCTGCTCTCTGCAGCAGCTGGGAAGAAAAGGATCGTGACGGGCTACTTGAATATTTTCAGTTCTCATTTATCAAAGGTAAATGGACGGCTGGTTTGGTGATTGGTTTTTTTTCCTGTTTTGGACTGTGTTGTTGCAGCTATGGAAATGCTGCTTATTTTTCCTGTTCCTACTGGAATATTTATTCCTCTTACTGCACGTAAACCCTTCAAATAGAAAAGCATAGCGAAGAGCATAGTGGTTTTGCATGGGCATGTCCGAAGGGCACGTAGATGTACTGGTCTGTGTAGTCAGTCCATCTGAAGGAGGATTCGTGTTAGCAGCCTGCAGCTGTATTTGCAGACTATGGGCATTCCTTAGTGGTGAGCTGTGGGAGTGATTCTGGCACAGCCTTTTCCTGTAAGGTCCGCGGTGGGTAGAAAAAGGTTTGAAGAGTGTGTATGTGTGGGAAGCTCTTTTTTGCCTGGTTATTATGTTACACTTTCACGATGACCAAGTGCTGGAAGGAAGGTTGCAGAAGGAGTCGATAAAAATAGTGTAAATTTAAATTTATTTTTTTTAGGTACTATTTACAGTGCCACAGTGCTCTTGGCTTTACTTGTTTCTTTTTATTTTGCTCCTTGTATGAATCCTTGCACTTTATAATGGGAAGGATTGATGGCTGCTTTCATTTTGTGGCCTGCTATCAGGTGATTTTGGTCTGTATAAATCTGTGTTACTGTGTAACAGTAAATTGTAAAAGAGAACACTTACCTTTTGCTTTCTCAGGCTCTGTGATCTGTTAGAATCTTTATGTATTTCAGCCATGTTTGAGCCTGAGTTAAGCGGTTGGAGGTGAAGCATCGTGTAGTCTGCTTTATGGTCCTGTTCCAACAGTTTTCAGACTGGTCTTTGATGTTATGTAACTTTAGTACAGTGTGGGTAGAAAATAATTTAAAAATACAAAGTAAATAATTTTCATTGAGGATTTCCACAAGGCACATGTGTGAAGCCTAATATTTCAGCATTGTGCCATCTTCCAGGAAAAATGGAAACTTATTTCCAAAAGTGGTAGTGTTTTTATTTCTTTTTATTTTCTGAAGAAGAGACTCAAATTGTTGGGGATGCATTTTCCATTGGGAAAAGCAACAAAACCACAGACAGTAGCTTGTATCTACATAGGACACCTTTGTGTTTCTTTTTAATTATATAAGAATGTGTCCATAAAACTAATATTCATCAGACTACATAGATTGCTTTATAACAAACTCTTGACTGCAGTTAACAAATGCCACCTATTTCTGAAGTCAGTAGGTGTAAGAAAAGAAAAGAAACATTTCTCCCCCCGCACCCCTGCTTTTTGGGGGGGGGTCATATTTTAACTGGAGCTTTCAAGCATTGTTTGGACTTTGCCATTGATGGCCTTTTCCATCACCTATGCTTTAAATAAAAAGCATGTCACATTTTAACTTTATGTTGAAGTTTCATATGGCAACTAATGTATATCTTGCTGCACCCAGTAGATATGTGTCTGCATGTTTCTTTCTTAAACTGTGGATGTTTTCAGGTAGAGACAAGTGTGTTACTCTAACTGTTGCTGTGGGGACATGCAATAGCTCTCCATCCCTCTTCAAGAAAGACATTAATTTTTCCAGGCCCTCCATTCTTTTTGAATCCGAGCTGCTATGTATTGCTGGTCCACGTGAGGAGTAACATCAATTTTTAGAAGCAAGGTGTTTTTCTGGTCCTAGACTTGTTATGTGATGATACTTGAAATACATTAGAAAAAACCTATAGAAATAAGGAAAGCTGCAAAGTAAAAAACAATGGCAGTGGTAACTTGCTTTAAAATACCAGTAGTTGGGCAGTAAGCATCAATTTTAGAGTATGTAAACTGTTATATATGGCATATATGAAACACTTTTCTACACATTTCAGCCTTCCAGAACAGGCCCTGTGTTATCTAGGGTAGTCTGTCTGTAAGGACCTCTGATCTGTCATTTGCTTGCCTGGAAGTTGTGTCAATTATGGATTTACTAGGGGTTAAGGGGACTCTGAGCCCTTTCTCCTCTTGTTAGCTCTGTGTGCTGTGACCCAATTTCCATGGTATGTGTTTTGCAGACACCCCACCCCACCTCTCTCCCCATCTCTCTTCATGTCTCCAGTTGTCCTTCCTAAGGCTGTATTGCCATCAATAAAATTTATGATGTTTGTCTGTTTCCCATATTAAGTATCTTCCTCCTGATGCTTTCTCACTTCCAGAGAGGTCTTTGTCAAAGCTGTGTAGGAGGAAAGAGCACAATTGTGGTAGGCAGAATATGTACTTACTTGTCAATTAACCTTTCCCCTTCGTAGGGTTAAATGCTCCAAATTGAACTTTATGTAATAATTCATTATGGTACAAAAGGAAATTGGAAGTCTATGTGGAATACAACTTAGAACGAAAAACTAGAGTTCATATGAAAGTTATCTATAAAACACTTAAATCATTAAATAATTATTTTTTCATCTCTAGGAATTAATATCAGGTGTTGCAAATATAGATTCTCTCAGGTATTAACAGTAGTTCTGGGAAGTCTGGCAGAAGGAGAGAATGTGTAGGCTTGACTCCAAGACAAAACCTAAAATTCTGAATTAATTTGGAATTGAATGTTTTACGAAGGAGCAGAGACTTTACTGAATTAGTTTGAACTATGTTAAGCCTTCAGATAAAAATTGTCTCATAGCCCACCTCAATAGTGTCTCATAATCCATCGATCAGTAGTGAAGCCTTTTTTATTTACAAAATGTTTTCAGAATAGTTTACTACGGTGATTGAACTGCAGTTTGGTCCTATGTATGACAGAATATGAAGTATGTTTTATTTTTTAATGCCTTGTAACTTGGTTTTCTCATGGGATAGAAGTTATGTCTGTGAATATCCTGTGCTCTTACAATGCAAACTATTTACTAGAAATAATTAATTTGTTTTTTTCCCTTTCCCAGCATCTTTGAGGATGAAAGCATGAAACTACGACAGCTGAAACTAGAGAATCAGGTAAATTACAGTGCTGAAGCTGGTAACAATAAGTATAGGAAAACAAACATAAGCCATCTAGAGACTTGAGAAATAGGGGTGAAGTGCTAAAATTGCTTGGTCAAAGAAGAACTCATTGCTAACGTTTTTCTTTAAAGATTTTCATGGCTTTTGTTAGTTTAAGTCAACCTTTCTGTGGCTTGTAGGCTTGATGTCTTTGATACATTTATTTTTCATACGTCCTCTCATTTCATGGGGATTGAGTCACCACAATGCAAAATTAATCAAAAGAGAGGAAGACTTCAGGGAATTGTCAAATCAAAGTAAAAGAAAAAGTTACTCCAAGCTATAGAACAATACACATACACTGTTGTTGAGAAAGATTTCCAGCATCTTTTGACTTTTTTTGTTTCCTACTATGAAAACATTTACAGCCAAGCATTTGTTGAATATTAGGTTATAGGTCTCAGCTTTTTAAGTGCTGTTTGCTGGATGCCATATTCTTAAAAGCAATGAAGTACCCATCCTTAATATTCTTCCTCTGTGAAATTTTAAATGCTTATAAATAGATTAGAAGATGTGAGATCATTATGATTTCACATGGAACTCAAATCACTGTCTTGCATTAAATTAATCTGTGTTCAAACTAAAGTATGTCTTTTAGAAAAGCTCGCTCTCTCAGCTGAGGATCTTTAAATCCAGATGTAACAGTCTTCAGGGAATTGTTGCAGTGGATAATAACCCTTTTTACCAGAACTTGTTCATTATTTCTAGTCTGAGTTCGCTTCACAGTGGATTTAGCAGCAACTTTATCTGTGTGTATATAGGCACTTACCTAAACCACTTCATAGCCAAGGAGTAAAATTTATCTTTGATCATATTTGTGGAAGCTAGGGTAGTCCTTTTACCTGTAAGCTATCCAGTAACATTTGTTTAAAAAAAAAAAATAAAAATCATTAGTTCAAGTAATCAGTAAAAGAGCATTTAGTGCCAAAGCCACTCAGTAAGAAGTTCCAAAACTAGGGGTGGTATGACTGCTTGGTGACAAACCTCAGTGTCTGTTTTAGGACTGTTGCTTTGGGTCATAAACTGGTATTAATCCCTGGCTCCTAGTGCTAGGCTCTGTGGTTGATGTATGCCTAGTTTTAGACCTTGCCATGGGGATGCATTGGTGTTCCACCAAAACAGAGCTGCTGGGCTGGGTGGAATTTCCTCAGAGCGGCTGTCAGTTGAGTCATGAAGAGGTGAGTTTAAAGAATTCATACCCTTTTGTAATTTTGTTTCCTGCTTTCTTGGATTTGGTTGAGATTGCAATTGTCTGCAAAATCAACAGCTAGAAAATGTCACTAAAATATATCTTAACACCACCTCCCCTCTTTGCAAATGAGATTTGTTGAGAAATGCTAACAGTCTCTGATTTAGGATTGTATATTTAGGTTTGAATACTACCTTTTAAAGTCTACTTTTAACTTTTACATTAATAAGTACCATGCTTTCTGAAGGAACAGAGGCCAAGAGGAGATCACTATCAGACACGACAGACTCATTGCTGGTTGTAGCTGATGCCCCGCTTGATTAATTTGTCCTAAGCCTTTATAGGAATTGGGATAAAAAATGCAAAATGATTTAATCCAGAAGGATCATGTTTAGAACCTTTGGCCATACAGAGCATCTGGAATCCGCATTTGCCACAGCAAAGACATATGCCTGTCACCCATCTTTATTATGGGTTTGGAAATCCTGTAATTGCATTAAGATATTATATATAATAATGCAGGATATCAAGTTCCATCTGTGGGCCAGCTCTGTGTGCCAGGATGCTTTTATCTAGCCTGCTGCCTTTTCCTTGAGGAGAGAGTGTGCGGCTGTTCAGGCAGTGCTTACTTCCCCAGCAGTAGGTGGTGTTCCCATGTCTTTTGAGGCACCTGCAGCTCAAATGCAATGCTGCCATCTCCCTGCAGGTTAACAGTGTGAAGCTGAAGGTGCACCTGGTATGGTACTTACTCTTGACGCGAAGTGCCATTAATGCCATCCTCGCTAGCTTTGTCACTGCTGCCTCAGCATAAACTAAGGAGGAGCTGGAAGAGTGAAGAGGACGTTTCAGAGCTAGGATCCATCCCACATGGCCTACTGTGGTAGGACCATGCCAAATAATAAGTAGTATGGTATTGCACCTTCAAGGGTTGAGTGGTTGGAACCTTCCTATATACCATCTTCCTGTTCATCACCGTTGTAGAAAGAATACTAACCTAGTTCTCTTATTAGTCTGCTATGATATATACATCTGACACATCTGACTTCTTAGCTTGTTGGAAACTCATTAGAACTGGATTTGGTGGTTTATGATCCTTTAATCATCCTGTATTCTGATGTTACACTTTTCTGTGGTGCAAAGAAAATGCTTCTGAAAGTATTTTAATACATGGAGTTCACAAAATCCCGAACAAATCATGATAATCCATATCTGTTATTTCACAGGTTATATGTCCTGGTGTCCTGTTCATGAACTGTCTAAATTTTTTGCTGTAACATTATATGAATTTTTACTGTAACAGAGAGCTGGAGGAAAAGACTAGTTAGCAGACAAAACGAAACAAAATACAGTTTCCTTTTTTCTACTTCATCTTAGTGGAGTGAGTCAGAGAATACATAGTACTGAAGGTGAGGCTGCTCTGCCACCTTATGTAGACAAAATGAATTGCTACTATCTGTCCTGTCAGTGGGTTGCAGATTTTTTTTTCATCCAGCAAAGTATTAGGGAGAAGCCTTTTTAAAAGAAATTAAACTACTATCAAGTTTTGTCACTTTGATTATCCTGAAGTTCTTACAAGAAGGTCGGTCACATCTACCAGCAGTAAACTGTATGTTTCAGTATAAACCAATATGATCCCATTGAGTTGGTGAGTCCTAGAAACTCTTTGGTGAAACAGAATGTACTATAATAGGAACAAATAATTTTTTAGACTGGTGAGCAGTGCAATGTTTAAAAAGCTCATCTAAATAGAATAACCAATTAAGTTACTCTGAAAGTTATTATATCCTATATTGATCCCAAATTCTATTTCCCATTCTAGCAGTAGCTGTGTACTTTCTTACTGCCTTTAGGATTTGTCTGTTTTATTTTTTTCTTGTCTGTTTGTCAGGTATAGAAGCCTTGGCAACAATTGTTCTCAAATCCTTATTCTGAGTATAGTGTTTCGATTCTTGTTTTCCTTCTCTCCTTTTATTTAAAATATTGGAGATTTATAAATTATCACGATTTTTTTTTTTTACTTTTCCTCAGCATTGATTTAAAAACCAAACAAATAACACAAACCAATGTAAATTCTTCTGAAAGGGTCTGACTACCTTTCTAGAAAACAAATTTTATCTGTAATTAGCATTTTCTAAGAATTTGACTTCTACTACTTATTTTTCTTTTCTTCTTTTAGAGCAATGTGATAATCTCTTTGGAATTCTGTGTAATTTTTGCCTTGCAGGACAATCCTTGCAAATAATTCAGCAGTAACAAACACTACCTGTATTGCAGTCCAGTCTTCAAAGTGTAATTATGAGCTTAAATAAAAAAGGTTATTGTTTTGAGGTTTTTTGGGGCTGTTTTTTTTTTAAGGGAAGTGCTTGAAAAGCAGAAAGAATAAAGGACCAAGGGCTGAGTTGTGTTGGAATTCCTCAGGGAGAGATTGCCTGAGAAACTAACCTCACTCAAGATAAAAAGCCTAGTAGGAGAGGAAAGAACTGACAAGAGAGAGAAAAAGCATAACAGGAGAGGAAAGGGTTCCAGGCATCTATGTCTCAAGTGGATTGAATTGGTGGTACTGTTTATCTGATGGATCCTTGGAGACCGAAAAGAATTTGATGGAGAAAGGGTTTCTAATCATCAGGAACAACTTTCAGGGGGTGTTCAGGTAACTAAGAAGCAGGCGTGGATAAACTGCATCTATAGCAAGGGGCTTGCACATTGCTTGCCTAGTGGTGCATTACAGGATATTATAATATGATTTTTCCTTCTTCTTCATGCATCACCTTAACTTTTTAGGATTAAGCGTGGCCATCTTTAAAATGGTGCAATGTCCCCATTTGCCTTGATTTAAGTATAGAAGTTGTTTCTATTCTCATTTAGTAGGAAATCATAAACATCAAATGTATATGTATCTTGGAAAAGTAATTTTTATTTTTTAACATTTGGATTTACCATTCTTTCAATCCTTAATTACATGGAAAAAATTTGCAAGGTAGATCAGTTTTTGTTTTACTGGATCCAGTCCTATTTTAATGACTGTAATTTCCCCCCCTCCCCCAAGTCTTATCTCTCAACATTGGTTTCTGGGAAGTATTTGTTTTGAGTTGTCCCTATAAGATGATATCTTCTGAGACAAAAACCTTTTCCTTTGCAAGTCCTGGCCTGCTTTTGCTGCACCATGACAGCGTTTATAACTGCGGTGGCAGAATGAGCTCTGATTATGGATTTTTAGAATGTTATGCTAATACAGTAAAAGACTTAATTGCCATGTAATGCGTAGGGCAAGGGCTCTAATCTTTACTCTAGCATTTTCAGATAGTCTTGGAGATAGTTGTCTCAATACAAAGTTAGCTTAATTGTACAAAACAGGGAGGAAAAATGATACATTCCCTCTATGCATAGGAAGTTATTGTCCTAAATGGTGGGATGTTTCATATTCAATCGTAACTGCAGTTGAAAGAGCAGAGGGTCCTTGTGAGCTATTTTGTAAGTAGGATGCATGGAGTAATAAAATTGCATGAACATGCTGTATATTAAAACATGAAATGTTTCATATTGCATTATAAATTACTGCTGAATTTATCTATTTATATTAAAGATTGCTGCAGTTTAGACTGGATGAAAGGACTTAAAATTATCTGCTGATGGTCTCAAGATAGATCAGAAAATAATCAGGTGTCCACATCACCCATCAACAATGGGTGGAGAATCAAAGGCAATGTCTCACTCCAAAGACACAGTGGTGTCTGTGTCTAGGATTTTTATAAGAGATTACAAGAGTATTTCAGGTTTATTGGAGATCCCGATCAGTGACATGTCATTGCCAATGGCTGAGGCATAGTTTCTGCCTCTGGATGTGGTTACTCATCCTTATTTCATGCTTTTTCTTTATTTCTCAGAGAGCTCTTCTAGAGAAGAAGCAGAAGAAGAAACGTCTTGATCCCTTGATGGTACAACCAAATCCTGAGGCAAAGCTGCGTAGGTCAAAGCCCAAAGCATGTGAGGAGCAGACTCCTTTAGTAGAAACTCCTACCCCTTTCCACAGTGATGTTATGCTACATGGTAAGTAATCAACCTGATTGCAACAATGTTCCCCAAAATGCCAGTGCATACATTTTATGTCACAGATGGGCACCTACATTGCTGTGACAGTGTTCGAGTGATTACATACCTTTCTATGTACAAAAGTAGAATTGTAGTACAGTATGGTTGAGCAATACTGAACTGTAAAAACAAAAACGTTACTTTGAATTTTGTGACAGCTCAGAATCTTCATGTGCCTTTGAGTAATTGCTCCCTTATGTTAGGCTAAGAAGAACTACAGAAATGGGTTAGGAACTTCTATAAAGGTAGAGAGACGCAAATCCAAAGAGAGTTTTCTGAAGCTGCAGGATAAAGAAGGGAAATAATCCAGTAGTGACTGCCTGTACTTTTCTTCATGGTATCATGGTATACTCCATCTCAAGATTGGATATGACTGAATGATAAAGTAGAGAAGAGCAACACAGAAGTCTCATGAATACTGAATTAGGTTCTTGCTGGTTTTTACCTCATCTGTTGTTTTCTCTGGGCTTCAGGGAGACAACTGGAACATGACAAACAAGCTATAGTGGTCCAGAAAGTCACAAGCATGAAGTGATATCAGAGCCAAAGCAGTAACTCAGTGGTCTCAAAACATTACAGTAAAATAGTGACCATTCTGTTAGGAGTAAAAACAAACACAGTAGTGAGAGCCTTAAGGCTTCCATGTCACAGGGAGGAAAAAAGAGCATCGAGGAAACCCCTACATTCCAGTGGAAGTGTCAGAAGTAGTTTATGAGAGCCAGGATCCCATGAGCCTATCAAGAAAGTTACAGAAAACGTCCTAAGATTTTGAGATGCATGCTATTGCAGGATGTTATACCACCACTTTAATATTTATAGGGAATTCATGCGTAGAGTAGAATTTTAAAACCCCAAAAAAACCAGTGTTACCTGGTTTGAAGATCACATTTGGAACTATGTTATCCCATCTTTTGAAATTTTTTCTTGTTCTCCAACTGTTTTTCAGGATCATAGGATAGGGAGGGGAGAGGTGATGTGGACGGTAGTATTTACATGTTAAAAATCAGGTGGGAGAAAGCATCTGTTAACAAACACTTTTAAGTCAAAAAGAGAGCAAGGGGAAAGATTTATATAACTTCTAAGTTAGGAGACTTCAGTAGAACTGAAACTACAAGGGAAAAAAAAAAAGAGAACTAGCTGCTCCCTCACTAGCTTCCATAGTTCTGAAGCTTCTTCAGTACAAACAAATCCTTTTAAGAAGTGATAATAGCAGTAAACATGTCAGAAATCTGATTACCAGAAAAAGCAGTAAGGTTTTAAGAAGGAAAACAGTGGGGAAGCAAGAAATCTAAAGCTGGAACTACACTTAACTATTGTGTGCTACACAAATGTGTATTAAGTATTATGCCAGATCATGACATCAAGATGTCTCCATCAGTTATGAAGTGCAGTACGCAGCTGTGTTGCATATTTAAACTTGGAAATTCGTTTCTACCAAAAAGATAGAGTATCTATTTACATTTTTTTCTGCCTGCGGCTATAGATACTTTTATCAAATTGATTTGCGGTGTTCACTGTAGAGCGCTCATGGGCACAGGAGCAAATAAGGAACCTAAAAGAAAAGAAAAGAGTAGTTGCCCATAAATAGATTGAAGGATATCAATGTGCATGACAAATACAACTAATTTTAGTTGCTTAAGCCCTTGTAAAAAAGTAGATACAATCACTATATTTATAAATGGAGAAACTGATGCCTGATATGTTTAAAGTAATAGGTGGTCTGTACTAGAGTCAGGCCTGACTACCCCCAGGTCTTCTGACAAAAGTTGAACAAGTATGCCTCAGGACTTTAAAGGGATGCGTGAGCAAGGGAAGATTAAAAGAACCACTGTCCTGAGATGTGTCTTCAGCAGCAAAAAATAGACTTTAGCATTTTGTTTCATTGTGTCCTGCAGGCATTGATGGACCAGCTGCTTTCCTGAAATCAGAAGTGCAGGATTTGGGGACTAGGCTCCAAACTCTCTCTGCTGGATCTTCCAAAACAAAAGACAGTGCAGATCAGGAAAATGATGGAGAGTCTCTAACAGACACAGCAGGCAAGCCAGATCTGCAAGAAATCTTACAGAAACGAGGTAAGAGTTGATAATGGGCAAAGGTCTTTTTTGGGTTCATCTTCCAATAATTTTTTTCAGTAGCATTAAAGAACCTAAAAAATATGAGGAATCATGAAACAAGTGTCTGTAGGAAATTACTTTTAAATGCAGAGCTAGTAGATCCTACAGCATGCAGAAATGCAGAACTGCCGTTCCTTCTCCTGATATTAATTGGAACAGATCAGTTATGTTTTAAAGGTTTGACAGTGTGCTGTTTCTGGCCTTTCTAAGGAAGTTGGTGACAAAAGGCTATACTTCAGATTTTGCTAAAGTTCAGGGTACTTTTTTTCCAGATGTATTATATCTGGATATGATGATTGAATATTTTCACAACAGCAGAACCCTCTATAGCCAGTAAATGCCGTAATTTAACTTGTTTAGGAGACTAACAGGACACGTGTTCTTCCCAAGTCAGAGGCTGTCACAATCAACAATTTTAGAGTTTTATATTCAATAGTTATATCCCATTAAGTTGTTTCCCAGTGGAGTGTCCATTTCTGTCTGCCAAGTATCTTATGTTGCTGCCAGTACCACAGGAAACAGTTTTTGTTGCATGCAGCCTAAGCATTTTGCAGCAAAATAATGGCTAGTGTTTAATATGGTACATAGCTTGTTTTTATTTTGCAAAGCCTGTCTCCCAGAATGTTTCCAGTACACTTCATGTATTAAGGTACTACCATATGTAGAAATACTTCCATTCAGTTGTAAGATGCAACAGCTGCTTACCTATGGATAGCAACATTACCCAAGAGTTAGGAAAGGAAGCAGGGGAGAACATCCTGAAACTTCAGGGGAAATCAGTGGAGGTAGAATATAAACAGTGAATTTTGAAATTGGCCAGAGTATTAGGGTTAACGCCTTTCCTCTTCCCAAATGTGCTTTGGGGAGTTTACTGACAGGTTATTAAGACTACGTTTTTCTGTTTCATCTGAGACAAAGAACCTCCATCAGTGTCCCTTCTATGCAGTGCCATGTTGGAGCACTGTTATAATATTGTCTCTCAGGAAATAATTCAGTTTAGCAGGCTGAGTGTGTTCATTTTCTGTAGTGCTTTATGTGCTTTCCATTCTACAGCCAAATTAAAGAATGGAATCACAGAACAAAATGATGCACTTCCAAGTGGAAGGAAACACCAAACAGTGATGTGTACGGAAGCTCTTTATAAATGTCGTTTTCCAGAGTTATTTTAGGTATATACCCATGGTCATCTCTATGTAACTCTGCTTAGGTTAAGATTAAATAAGCAAGTCCTGGAACTACTCAGTCTGTGCTTCTGTTTTAAAAATTAAATCATTAGTAGTATTCATGAGACCTGAATTATTGCTACTGATGTAAGAATAAGAGGGGCTCTTACTGAAAAATTATTATATTCCATTTCAGTGTGTATAAGACTAAGGGGAAATGGTAAAGGATGTAAACTGTACAAAGTCCAACTTACAGGATAGATGTCAGCATATTGATCTGGATTTCCTTTTTTAGTTCTTTAAGACATAGAGGGCTTTTTTGCTTGAAAATAGGAAAGATTAATTAAATGACAGCACATACTAAGCAAAATAGGTTACATCATGTAATATCATGTAAAATATGCATTAATAAAAGCCTGACAGCTACTTAATCATCTGCACAGTGACAGCTGCAAAGTGTCACTTGGGGGGGTTTGAATTACAAGGCTCAGGAAGCCATATAGCACATAAAGAAAATCAGCAGTTGAAACAACAGAAATTAATTAAAAGAGTGAGAGCAGAATAGCTATGCAAGACTCATATATGAATAATTGATGCCATGAACTTATGCCACCTTCTTTCAAGGTTACCTGCTTGATCCTCTATTCTGACAGGAATTTCAGGCAGTTTGAATTTTGATGAGGAGGACACAGAAGAGGAAGAAGCTAGTAAGAGACCAGCATCTCATTCACAGTATCCTGAATCTGAGAGGCCTAGTTCTGCAACTAGTGAGAAATCTTTTGCAGTAAGTGTCTTGAAATCCATTTCTGATAAGGGTTAGGCACATGCTTGATTTTAGTACTAACCCCTTGAGCACTGGGTTAAAATGTAGTAGTTGCAACTACAGTAGCTAGCATATTAATCCCTGAGGGCAGAGGAAGGTCATGATTATCAGGTTTTGTGATTGAAGGGCCATTGAGTTAAACAAAGACCTAGTAATGATCAAAGGAACAATGGTGGGCAGAGGAACCCAAGTAGCCTAATCAGTGAAGATGGGAACACAATGAATCAGCTACTCCTATGATCCTCAAAGGAGACCGATGAGGCTATTGTCTCTGGTGTAAAATCCACCAAGGTGACTCAGAGAAACTCTGAAATGCCATGCAGACTTAAGAGGCATCACTGCCTGAAGGTTTATAGCAGTTATTGTGGGATGCAAGGAGGAACAGAATTTTGGGATGGAACAGAGAATTCTGTGATTGGACAAAACTTTTTACAGGGTGTTTAGGGGAAGGGACTCAAGAGGGAAAAGAAAGGGGTCAAGGTGGATCAGGGAGTAATAAGCATAGGAAAATAGGGACTAAAGGGGTTAGAAGGCACCAGAAGCATGTAAACAGCTGCAAGATAGTATGCTTGTCTGGCCAAGCCTTGTGCCTGATTACTGCAGTGTGTCCTACCATCTTCTAAAACTCTGTTTCTAACTATTTCCTGTGTGAATGTGTTCTCGTGTGTGCGTGTGAGAGAGAGAGAGAGAGATACATACATAACGTACGTATGCTGACGAACTATGTGCTGAACTAGCCAGTGAGTTGGAAGAGACCAGCACCAGGAAGACCCAGGGTCTGAGCTGGTGACCAGATAAAGGGCATGGGTGATGGACAGCCTTAAAAGTCCATGCTACTATTCGAAAGACCCATGTGAATATATTTGTGAGGTGACTGTGTGTATGTTGTGCTACACTAGTGGGTGATTAGTACAAGAGGTCTGGGTGTTAGCTACTTGCGAGACTGGGCTATGGGTGCCAATTGCTGGAGATACTAGGCAGGGGGGTGTGCTGGAGGGGGGTGGAGTGAGAGCCACTAGCAAATTTCAAATCTGTGTATGTGTGTGTCTGTGTGTATTCACTTAGACTTTCTACTGGCTGTACCCGGGAATGGGGATAAACCAGCAACCTCATCTCCAAGGCCCAGTAAGGGAGTAATCTCCTGGGTTCTACAATATATAGGGTTCATCTACCTCTAAGAAAAAAAATGGCTTAATGACCTATACCAGATTTCCATTAGAATTCCCATTCCTTTGGTGACCATAACTTGCATCCTGACTGTACACATTGTTCTAAGGTTCTTCCAGCATTTAGTTGAGATGGTTCCACTGTCAGCTTGCTCCGTTTCTGCTACTGTTCTGAATGAACATAATCTCAGTGCTCATTTCAGTCACAAAAATCCCAGTCTGTTTTACTGCAGCATCCATCAGTCCAGCTTACCATGCTGCCTTATTCCCCACAGAGTGTTTGAAGTTCTAAAAGCAGAGAGGCTCTTTGCTTAGAATATTTATAGTGTCTCATCCTATTTGTCTCTTCCTAGCAATTCACTCATCTCTGGTTAATGGGTACTTTTTCTCCCCTCCCCTTGGAGGGCTAGTCTTTCTACAGAGTAAAAGTCTTCATCCACTTTCTTCAGAGAAACACAGGTAGTCTCTTGTTTAACTTCCCTTTCCCAAATATCTTCTCGAGACGTGAGATCTTCTGTTTCAACAGACCTTTCTTTTCTTAGGGAATACCAGAGCCTCTGATCTGATATTAATTTGCTAATATGATGGTTCTTCCTGCAGGAAACAGGTGCTTCCTGTAGTCCATCCCCTCAGGCAGATGCACAGCTGGGAGAAGTAGAGAACTTGGAGGATTTTGCATTACGCCCTGCACCCCGTGGTATTACAGTCAAGTGTCGAATCACTAGAGATAAGAAGGGAATGGACCGGGGCCTCTTCCCTACTTATTACATGCATCTGGAAAGGGATGACAACAGAAAGGTATTGCAAGCAGCACACAGTATCTTGGCTATTGTACTCCTGCAGCAGAATATTTTTGGTGTATGGGAGACCTTCTGGTAAGAAACCAGAAGATGAGGAGAGCCAGCATGCAGATGAGGACAGCTTACATTTGGCCAGGGCACTAAGGAGGGAATTGGCAGGTTTAAAAGACACAATACAATGAAAGATTAAATTTTAAAAGTATAAAAATTTCAAGGATAAAGAAGAGCAGGGAGACTGAGCTGCTCCAGAAGAGAAGGAGGGAAGACTAGAAAGGACAGCTGCATTAAATCTAGACTGCTGAGTGAGTTGATTGGAGGAATAGGATTTCAAGGTGTTCACTTGCAGAAGAGATCAAAATTGTGGAGACAGTAGCATAACAAAAGACAGTAACAGCACAGAACAAAAAGGGAAATGGATGTGGGAATGGAGAGATAAAGGTTTGGATAGCAATGTCTAACAATGCCTGTGCATTCTTACAAAGCTCCAGTCTTGATCAAAGTTTTGTATTTCCAGACATTCCTTCTTGCAGGGAGAAAACGAAAAAAGAGCAAAACTTCCAATTACCTCATATCAATTGACCCAACTGATTTATCCCGGGAAGGGGAAAGTTTCATTGGAAAACTCAGGTGAGAATCACAGATGAAAACTACAGACAGGAGAGACTGGATTTTCATTTTAGTTGAGCTGGGGTTATAAATAGCAATCTGGTACCAGTTCAGAGAGAATGAACTTGCATTGTCCTGCTTAATATAATCTGTATTCACCTGGGTTGGCAGCCTTTCTTCAGCGTTACCATTCACTGTGGCAATTCAGAGAAGGAATTCTGTCTCAATGCTTTTCCCAGGATAGGTTGCAGGCTCAGTTCACCATGGGCACTTAGCAGAAGCACCTTACCATTGGTGCAATGGCAATAGGAAGATGCAGACAGGAAGAGATGTGTGTTTTCACTGCGCTGTACAAATACCTTCAGAAGATGACAAAACTTTCCACTGATGCCTCTCTCTTTCTCTGTCTTTCCATAACCTGACATCAGGTCAAACCTCATGGGAACTAAATTTACAGTCTATGACCATGGAGTTAGCCCAGTCAAGGCACAAGGTCTAGTGGAAAAGGCTCATACGAGACAGGAGCTTGCAGCTATTTGTTATGTAAGTAGTGCCTCTCCCCTTTTGCCCCTTTCTTTTTTGACGCCTGGTTGCTGAGGAAACGGGGCTTACAAAATCATCCTGCCTGGCAGCTTTCCTCACTTAACTTTGAACCAACTGGCCAATTTCAACCAGATACAGCAAAGGGCAGAGGCCTCAAAGACAAGTTCTTACAAGTTTAATAAAAACAAAAAAAAATCAATGTTAGGGGAGGGAGAGAAACCCAAACTAACATCCTGATGACCTTCTTACCTGGCCTATCGTTTGGCGTGTGGCCAGTCAATGTAAACTTTGCATGGAGCCAGATGCAGCATGAACTGCCTCTTGCCCAGCTGGTATCTGGTGGACACTAAGAAGGAACTGGGACTACCCTGTGAAATAGAGGTATTTTTTGCAGAACCAAAGCCATTTTGGTGGATAGGAAGGAGGTGGTATTATTTCAGTAGCAGCTTGCTGTTGGTAAGGATATCATTCCAGGGGAAATTGTGATTTGCTAGCTCTGTGCTAGAGATGTTTTCTTCTTCTGGTCTTGTGGATTGCCTCAGTCTAGGCTTCAGAGTGAGGAGTCACTTGTGGACACTCTAATATTACGTGAGGGTTTGCACGTCACCTTGTTTCATATTCCAGTCCTAAAGTTTGAGTAAAATTTTAGGTTCTTTACAATGACGGCCAGTCAAGTGGAAGGATTTTTACTTTTATCACAGCTACAGCAGTAGAAATTTACAGGTACATTAGCCTACTGGAGCCTGATCTTGATGTTTTTGCTGTTGATCTTAATGGCACTTGAGAAAAAAATTGATGTGGTAATTTCAGTACTAGCCTGTTTACAGAATTATCACTGTATATTTTCTTTGTATACAGGATTCTTCATTTCCCTACCTAACTGTACACAGCAAGGTGTTAAAATGAGTGCAGCAGATAATATATAGTCAGCTTTTCAGATTTCTGAACTGTTGTCTACAAGAAGTTCATAAAGTTTATATATGAATAAAATCAGTACCCTCATTCTCATATGTGCCCCTAGATTTTCTGAAGTGAAATAATAGAGGTTGCAACTCCAAAGACTTTTGTTCTGTCCACAAAATGCACTAGCAGATTAGGAGAAGCTGTATCACTTCTATCAATCAAAACAGTACTTCTAAAAGATTTGGGCTTTTTAATTTGTCTTTGGGAACTTTCAAGGATATCACTGAGGTTGTTACAGAACACTTTAAGTGGACCCTTGGATTTTGGTTGACATTATTAAATAGATGGTTTGAGAATGCTAAGATTTTCTCCTCTGCTTTTTATACTCAATCCACTTGGAGCAGTTTCCTGCAGTACTCAGAAAATCTGCTTAAGATTGAATCTTGGACAGATGCTGAATACTTTGCCTTCTGGATCTTGTCTTAATCATTTATAAAAGACTGTGATTTGAGAGAAAATTGTAGGTATGCTCTTAAACACAAATAACAGCACCTAAAGAAGAATGTCATTCATTCTTCAGGAACATTTTAGCCTAAATGGTGATATATAGATAATATAGTCTCAGGTCAAAGACATTTGCCTTTTATCATACTTAAGGCTTGTTTATTAGCAAGATTTTAGCACATTTTTGCCTCAGATGCCTGGAAGTTGCACTTGTCTGATTTAATTATAAATGTTTCATTAGGATAACAGATGCACTCTGAAAAAGATAACACTATGTATGCCTTTTTAATGCAGTTCTCAAAATGGAAGAGAAAGCTCTTCTCAGTGATTAAACACAGTTGCGCTTAGATAACTGCTACTACAGTTGTAGCTAACAGATCTCTAAAAACCAACATAAATGTGGATTCAAGTTCAGTGTTGCTGTCTTTGAGATGAAGTATCTAATTTACTGAAAATAACATCTATCCTTGTCTTTCAGGAAACCAATGTGTTAGGATTCAAGGGCCCCAGAAAAATGTCTGTGATCATTCCAGGAATGAATATGAATCACAAGCGAATTCCAATCCGTCCACGAAATGTGAGTTGTGGAGTTTGGTCATGTTTCAGATTGGAGGAACAGGTTAAAACTTTCTCGGAGAGGTCTGTTACTAATGATGGAGTTTTTTAGAGCAAGGTTGTTAATACCCTGGGCTTTAGCAAGTCCTGAGGAGAGTATATACAATGTAGCCTAAAGGTGTTGATTAATTTGCTTTTGCCTTCTACCTCATTTGTAGCCTTCTGAACAGTGTTTGTATCCTTACTTATCCTTTCCTCAGTCTAAATATTAGTTTCTTAGCTATTGCAATGGCTAGTGCATGTTGTTGCTGTTGCACCCACGACCCCTCCTCATGAGTGGGATCCTGTTATGCTGAGAGCTGGATGAACACAGAACAACTTCCTTCTCCCGGGAGCTTACATTCTTAGCTGCTATATGAATTACAACAGATAATAAATAGATAAGGTGGTATTCTGGTGTAGTAGCAAGAGAGTAAATATATTTTTGATCAGAAGGTTGTCTGTCTCTTTGTAGAAATCACAGAAAAGGAGGATTTTTTAAGGAGAAAGTGGCATGAGAATGACGGAGTTTTCTGGTGACTATTTAGTGAAGATTTCCCATACATATGGGGGACGTTCTAGCTAAAAGGTTACAGAACTGTATCTGAAAATATATTAAGGTGTATGATGAAAATTGTTCAGGTTCCTTAATGTGGGTTTTATGTTTGTGTGATAGATGACCAAAAAGCAGAAATGACAGGTGCCAACTGAAAGACATGGTCAGTGTTGTAAGCTAGAAAATTATATTTTCAGCCATGTTGTGAGTAGATACGAGCAGAAGAAGAGTGTATTTGTTGAGGTTAGAGAAAAAATCTTCAAGAGTGGAAATTCAGAGTCATGAGAGCCTGGAAAAAAGGTTTGATTTTGTGAATGGGCAGGAAAAATGTATCTGGAGGTGGTCGTTTATTCATCATCTTTCAACTGGTATTGCCATCTCCCCCATCAGTGCAGTAATGATTCCATGGCCCTGCATTTATTTTTCTCCCCTATTTTCCCAACTGTTTTGCTAGCAGGCAAGTGTACTGACAGTGGACAAGGCTGAAACAGAAAGCTGTTATGAAAAGTTGGCAAAGCTTTCAGTGGAGGGCTTTGACTCTGGTTTTGTCTTCTTTTTCTGTAGTGCAGTGCCTCCAATTAAGCAATACTGCCCCCACTTTAAAGGAGGAAAAATTGAATCTAAATACACTTTGTTGGTGCTAATTCTCAAAGTTATTTTGCATCTTTAAAAAAGTAAATAAAGATAAAAATAAAGATATAAAGGAACTAGTTTAAACTGGACAGTAAGTTTTATTTAGGTTATCCTCAAAAATCCACTATCATATCTGTATACAATACTAAAACAGTTACTATAGCCGTATCAGTCAGACCTCCACAACAGGTTGTTTCCTGATAATTTTTTCCAATTAAGTAACTTTAGTTTGGATTCTTTTTCTTGGGAGTTTTAGCGTATATCATTTCAGTTTGGATTTTATTTGTTGCAGAGATTTTAAAATTAAATCATATGTCATGTGTTTCACTCACTATTTGCAGCTCCTTGTAATTAATTCTGTTTGTCAGATTTAATGTGCTGTTTTACCTCCTTTTTGTATCTTCATGTTTTTATTTCTCTCTTTTTCATATTGTGCATCACTTATTAGATTCAATAGGATGACATTTAACATACTTAAGGCATACTTACAGTCCACTGCAGCCTTTGGACTTTCTACTGAAGCACTCTAGGGCCTGGCACTATGTGGTTAATTGTGGATTATTTTCTTTGTTTCAAAGTTTAGAATGTTAGAAATGGAAGTTGGGTACAAGAGGATCAGAGAAAGCTTATGAGACTCATAAAGGATTCCTGCCAGCAGGATGGCAGTGATCTGTGGCCCGTGAATTGCTGCCTTTCCTGTGCACACAATTCCTTCTCTTTCACTCTTTCTTTCTTGTCTGGGTGGAAATACGGTGATAGCTTATTGAGTGAAAGGAAATGCTTGGACTGGGAATCCATGACAGTATCTTCCTGGTACTTGCAGGAAGTTTTCAGTAGGACTGAGTTTAAGTGCTGTCATTGTGTTTCACTGAACAGGGAATGCCCTTCAAGTGACAGAGTGCAGAATATGAGAGAGGCAATACTCAAAAGCAGAGCCATTCCAAATCTGATAAATATATTTCTTTCTTCTGAACAGGAACATGAGAGTCTGCTGTCAAAATGGCAAACCAAAAATTTAGAGAACCTCATTGAGTTGCACAACAAGGCTCCAGTCTGGAATGATGATACTCAATCCTACGTTTTAAACTTCCATGGGAGAGTCACTCAGGCCTCAGTGAAGAACTTCCAGATTGTCCATGACAATGACCGTAAGACTCTGGTGGAGAGTGTGTGGGGCTTATTCAAACAGGGAGAACCCAATTTATTTAATGAGGTTTGGGAGGAAAAGGACGTTTTTCTTGGAGGAGGGAGGCTGGGTGGAGGAATTCAGCTCAGGATTATTGGGGACTTCTCAGCTGTCAAGAAAATTATATAAGGCGTCCCTTTTTCTGGGGTGGGTGCAGAGACTGCTGTCCATAGCTGCAGCAAAACAGGGGGAAAATGCAAGCTTTCTGAAGGGAAAGAAAAGTATTAATATGGCACCTTCAGCCCAGCAAAAGAGTGGTTTGAGCTTTGGTTCTAAGAAAGGTAATGTCTAGAATAACACAGTCACCATAGAGAACAGAATGGTGAGAAAGGATGGCTAGACCAACCACATATATTTGGGACTGTCAGACATGTTGTTTTTTGTCTGTGATTGACTGGGTTTTTTTCTTTGCTTTACTGTGAAATTGTTCATCTCTGAAACTTTCTTTTCTCCCCAGCTGACTACATTGTGATGCAGTTTGGTCGTGTAGCAGAAGATGTGTTTACTTTGGACTATAATTATCCTCTCTGTGCTCTTCAGGCCTTTGCTATTGGACTCTCCAGCTTTGATAGTAAATTGGCCTGTGAATGAGAGACAACAGACTTGAAACATGGAACTCACTCCCATCCCTGCATCTTCTTGTAAGAGTTCCAGGTGGAGTAATGAAAAGCACATTGGGGATGGAAGGGGACTGGAAGACAGACTTCTGCAGGCCTATTAGAAAGCAAATACCAGCTCTCAGAGCATTATGGTAGTTGACAGTAGACCATCTTAGGAGACTGTCCCAAGACTAAGCAGTCTTTCTATGCATTGTGGAAGAACAAGAAATATGGGTGATGGGAACAAGAAATACAGGATGGGTGATGTTGTCGGTGTTGATTCTGCTTTCAGAATCCTTGTAACAGATGCTGCATGAGAGCAGGCTAAGGAATTTAGCCCACTGATTGGAACCCCTCGCAGCTAGGATTAGAAAAATAATGCTTTAGTGTTCATATACCTTGGAACTTCCACTGTGCTCCTGGAGATGATGCTACTGATCTGATCTGGAACTCTTTGAGTTCCTGATCAGATGAATTCAGAAAAGGAGGACAGTTATTGGCATGTGTTCTCTTTTGCCCTGTGTAGCATTTTTATGCCTGTTACAGCTGTCAGACACAGAAGGATTCAGGTTATGGCTCTGTGTAGCCATAGGTAATGTCAACAAATACAGAGCTGGAATGAGACACTGGCTCTAATAAAACACTTTTCTCTGAGTCGATGGGATGATTCTCTTCAAGGCTGATAGTCCAGTTCCCTTTCATTATTCTAATTGCTCCATATCCCTTGACAGTCTTTTTACCAAATAAAGAACAATCAAATCTCAAATGCTCCCTTTTTAGTTGGTTATATTATATCCATTGCTGTTTCTGTTACTCTTAACCGTGTGAAAAATGAGACTGAATAGATGATAGAATCTGACTGAATTTGGCACAAGGTAGTATTGTAACAGTATACAGTACTATTCCTGAAAAGCAGTGTTCTAATTAATTGAATCTAGACTGTAAGCTGATCAGAAATATTTTTTAATTCATCCATTGTTCATAAAATTTGCTACATTTTTAGGAATAAGTTAGTGACTGATTTCTTTTTTTTAACACGAGGTTATCTCAAGTCATGACATATTAAAGTATGTTTTACATAAATAATTTTAACCTGACTATAAGAAGGAGTTACCTCAAAAGGAGATTATAGGTGTCTTCAAAGGCATCCATAAGTTTAAAATAATTAATAAATGTATCACAGGGCTTTGCAACGTGTCCTTCCGGTGTTCCATTTTTAATGCTGGATGTACAACATGGAGACTGTAGGTCACAGCATGGAATGCTTCTTGATTCATATGGCCTTGATTCATCAGCGTGAATTGCTGCACAGTGTGACATGTAAACCTCGTAGTGTACACATCTGCTGTGTACTAAAGCAGAGAACAGTTACTGTCTTGCCTGTTTCATGGCCATTATGCATATTCGTGACAAACCTGGAAAACCCTCTTCCTCTACTGAGACAAGAATAGGTGTTCTCCAGCTTTGGATGTTGTCGGCAGACTAACTCTGTTTCAAGCTCCAAAGAGCCAGATTTATTGCTTTTGGTCTCTGGAGTCTTTGCAGTGGCAGATATCACTTGCTCTTTCAAAATAATGAAACTGTGTGAAGATATTTTCTGATATTGCCAGGAAAAATAAATTATAGTAATCATGTGTAAACTCTGTATTTAACTGTAAATTATGAATTGATGCTGAGAACTCCAGCTCGCGCACCTCTCAGATGCCCATTCTGCATTAGCTGGTGAGCCGTTGCCTTGAGATGATCTCACCAGCAGAGCAGTTGGCAAAGAGAACATAAATCACGGAACTCTTTTTGTGCCTTCATGTACTTCCTGCTCATCAGGCTGGGGACAAGACCTGGCAGTGTTTTCCAGTTGTGCTCTTCTGAGTTCCTGGCTGATGGCTCTGCATTCCTTCTACTCATCTGGAAAAACTAAGTCAGTTTGTTACCTGTCTGATTACTTTTCTGACTAGGACTGTCTGAAAGAAACTGCCTTATGTTAGGTTGGGGTGACCTGAAGGCAGAATGCTAATTTCCAATTCAAGATGATTTTCTCTATGCTGAGAAGGCCACAGTAGCATCCCTTTGCTCACCCATCAGTTAGGCTTGTCAGCAGTGGCTCTTCAAGCTGTTTGTTGACATCAGATGATCCTGACAGGGTCAGGGCCTCTGGGTCTCCATCAAATTATGCAGACAAATGAACTGATTCAGTGGTCTTTTATCAGATACTGTTTTACATTAATTGTATTTATAACTTTTATATCTAAATGAAAATAAACTAATTCATATATTGAAAAAATCTTAAACGAGTTTTTTTGTAGGATTTTACTGTCACTTGTTGGATGTTCTTTGTTCCTGCTGTGCTCGATACTACCTCAGTTTCTTCATGTCTTGTATCTCATCTCTTTTCCTACTCCCCCTTTTCCTTTGTAACTCTCAGTTCTCTTCCTTTGTGGAGTTTTTGTCATACACTTAGAAGTCAGGGAATAAATGTAATGTTGGTCTCTCTAATACTTTTTTCCCCCATCAGCAGGTCTTCCTGTACAGTTCTTGGTTTCCATTTGATTCTCTCTTTAAGCTAGTTGTACTTCTCTGCCCTATGTTTTTAATGTTTCTCCTAGCATCCAGTTAGGGCTTTTGAGATGGTTCTTTATGCATTTTCTTACCCTCCATCTGAGCCCATTCTGCTGTTGAAGCACAATACCATACATACCTGAATCAAGAACTGAAATAATACAAGGCCACACCAAGCTGAAGTAGTTATTTTTTCCTGTTTCCACTGGGAGATGTATGAACCTCAGTAAGAGGAGATGCAGTGGTTCTGATAATCAGACACTGACACAGGTCTCAATGTGTGGGCCTTATTCTTCACACACCTCTTTTTTTCCACTATTTCCATCTGAGCCAAATTAGGTTTAGTTGGGGGAGAAAACTGAACAGGGAATACTTCTGGCATTTGTTCTTAGGACAGTAATATTAGTTGCATACATGCAAATGTAACATTCTTGAAATCCCAAAGAGATCTTAAAACAAAGAAGGAAGCATATTAAACTGTTAAATATAAATCCTAAAGCTCCTAGGCTGCTATAAGCGCCTTGGCTCACAAATATAGAAGACATTGAGTAATTTCTTGCTCTTTTAGGGGTCAGTTCGACTCTCATGGAAGTTTTGCTGCTGAATTTGGTAGCAGTAGGTGGGGGGGGGGGGTTGTTACTGTTGGCATAATTATATTATACTTTACTTAGTGTGCTCCTCTACTTGCTGGTATTAACAGCTCTGTAAATGTCTCAGCTGACACTGAATTAGGTTTCCTGTTCCTGGTACAGAAGACAAGCAAAGCCTTTCCTGTGATTTACAGGTCAAGAGCTCAGAGTTTGTGCAAAGTCTTGTGAAACTGAATTATGGATGGTTACTTCTTTGACAGTCAGGAATCTCATCTTCTCTGCCAGTGTCAAACTGAGAACGTAACTGCAGTGTGGAACTACGACAGCTGAAACCCAGAACTAAGAAAGATGCTGAAGGTATCCTAGGGCCGAGAGATTTGGCCCAGCACATGGCTACAAAGATGAGTAGAAAAGCAACTCTGGTGTAAGGGCTTCCTTACTAATGGGGAAAACAGCCTGCTACAACTGTGAAGTGGTAAGAATGGAAAGCCCCGCCATTAATGAAGGCAGAGACCCTATACCCACTTACTCTTGTATCTATTGAACCGTAGTCTATAGAGTTTTTGTCTTCTCATTCCGTCCCTCAGCATGTTCTAGATGGAATTATTCTTTCCCTGCTGGAAGCTGGAGGTCACTTCTTTGGTCCCCAAATGGGAGAAAAATCCAGAAGCAAACTAACCACCCAAATGCATTAAGGTAAAGGCTATTATAACTGTAACCTGCTCTGGTAATTTAACATTTAATTTAGAGAATACATAAATGGGTGAATGTATTCTAGAGGATGGAATTTGTGATCATTTACTTTGATTAAATTAACATTTCCAAACAAGGTGAACCATTGCACTCTCTGCAACAAAACAGCTTAAAATTATGAAGAAGACAAAGGACTGATTTTTTTTTAGTGCTTAATTGAATTGAACCCTTTATTTATTAAAGGAAAAGTAATACTATTTTAGTGTGAAAAATGACTGTTAAAGCTGCATATCGAAATCATTCAGATAGAGTACAGATAGGGCTGGGAAATTAAGTGATCAGCTTGCCCAAATCTCTGCTTTCTGTTCTAAGCAGAATAGTTTGCTTCTACATTACCACCAGTAAAGAAAAAAAAAAAACAAACAAAACCAAAAACCACACCGCCAAAAATCCTCTGTTCTCTTGAGTGGGTTTCCATCTACAATCGACTGGAGTCCTGCAAACAATTTGTGTGATGATTCACAGGAAGGAATAGGTTTCAATTCCTTCTCTTTGAGCTATGCTGATTCTGCAGGGAAATGGGAGCAAAACAATATGTTAGTCACATAATCATGAGACCTGACTTAGAATTCACAGTGAACAGATGTGGAGAGAAGTGAGCTACCTTTGTTTTTCATTAAATTACATGTTTTTAAATATGGCTTAGTAGAAACAGTGCCAAAAAGAGATCATTACAGGGCTTTATGTAACAAAAAACCACACAACAATTTCATTGAATTTTGTAACTTCATCTTACTCATCTTGTACATACTCTTGATTCCTATGGTTGTATCAGAAAGCTTTTAAAGTATTCAAAAAATAAGATTATTGCTGAATTACCTTACAAAGAAAAGTAATTGTAAGTGGATTGTAAGTAAGTGGATTGTAAATTGTAAAAGGGATTACCAATATCAGTTATCTTCAGCACTGCCAAACTAAGGAAAAAAAAAAGTGGAGCTGGCCTTCCAAATCCCAAGACTAAGTTTATTAAGTTGATGGGTTTTGCCGTCTGGCTCCTGAGGCCTAAGGGACACATTTAGGTCCCATTTTCAGTCCTTTGTCTGCAACTTGAATTCGAGTTACGAACTTTTTTAGCTTTGGGTTCTTACCAAAAGCTGAGATTTTTCTTAATCCCTTTTTTCCATACAGTGAAGTTTTAAACAAAGCCAACTGTGTCGTAACTCTGCCCCAGGTCGTTACGCGCACACCAGGCATCTATGACAAAGTCACCTGCTGGAGACGTGAAAGAGTTCATTTTGCTGCTGCAGCCGCGCTGCCCGGAGCTGCTAATAGGATGTAGCCACATTTACTAAACTTGCTGGTTTACCACTGCTTTTGTTTTGGGGACGCGGCTTCCCAACCCCAGTGCAGCTCCCCCCAGCCTTGCATCAGCCTGCCCTGGGGCGGCTGGCTGGCGCGCCGGGGGGGGTGCCCCGGGAGGGAGCGGCTTCGCCGTGCGGCCGCGGAAAGCCGCAGAGCCCGCCCCGGGGCTGTCGGGAGAGCAGTTTACTTTTGGGGATGCTCTCGGGGCCACTGGACCGTTGCAGCCACCTCTGCGGTTCATTCTGCAGCGAGCGGCTCAGCCAGGCCGGGTGGAAATCCCACCGCATCCCTTCGGGGCTCCGACG